TAAAAAGTGCAGTCATGTTGATTTTATGTGTCCAAGCAGTATTTCTGTACCATTATTCTTGCAGGTTCAGTGCTTCGTTTACTCATTGTTGCTCCTGCTTTCTCTGAACTAATGCTTAAAGCGCTTTCTAAGGGGTAAATAGGTGCCAAATCACAGATTAGCCATGGGGGGGGATATTTGCATGGTATTATGGCACCATGTTTGGGTTGTGGTAAGAAGTAAGCTGTGCTGTATCAATCAGTTCTGAGAGCTGTAATACTGGTCTTCTCTAGTTTCTATAATGATTTGTTAAGACATTAGATGACCTTCTGAAAGCTCCACCTTCTGGAAGCAGGTAATTTGTATGAAAACTCCAGTTTTCTAGTTTTCGTAGGTATAGCGATAGACAGGAGGTGTGATCTGATTCTATCAAACAAGACCAAAACTAAAAAATATCCCCTTTCCCTGCTCTGGTACTGACTGAGCATTTAAACCCTTTTCTCCTGTCTTCCTTTAAAAGTACTGCACCCTGCTCCAGATATTTTGAATGGCTGAAGTTGCAAGTATTAGGGAAGACATTTTAGGTGCTTGCGTATTTTCTGAAATTCTGTTCCCACTCTTAGTTTTCCATATTTCACAATATTTCCACTTATTTTCTTTCCTCAAATTGGGTTCTTACCAACATCTTTTTCAATGTGAGCTTCTCAGTCACTTTAGCTCTGTTCTTGGTCCTTCCAACTTGAAGGATGACTGTTCTGGACATTCAGTCTGCTTTCCTTCTCAAAGTCGTAGTCCTTTGTTTATGAGTCTGATAGCCTGGTTCTTATATAGTTAAGATGATTGTGTTTAGCCTGAATTTCTTTGCCAAAGAACATTTATTGGATTTCTCAATCATGAGTATGTATTTATGTAGTTAAGAGAACTTTTTTTTTTTGACAACTAATATAGAAACTTGTTATGTTTATCAGATTCCTTGAATTTCTTCCCAGTTTGGGTTTAATTTTTAGTAAAGTTTATGGGCAGATTAAAAGTGAGAGTAAGGAACTGTGGTAAAAATATGCCAGCAAGAGACAAGAGAATATGTAAAAACATAATGGGCCATAAATGATGAGGGAAATGGTGGATTCTGTGGATGTTAATTTTGGCTATGTGAAATCCTTGATTTGGTTGGGGATCATGCTTGAAGTTTGTATTAGATAAGATGTAAAAGCTGTCTTGACATTTGGTGCACATGGGCTTTTTGCAGAGACTGACTTTGACCCAGGTGTTTTACCATAGTTATGCTAGATTGCTGATGATCTTGTCTTATTATGTAAAATACTACATTCTACTATTTAGCATGGAAAATAGTCTGGTGGACAGGACAGTGGGCATGAGTTGGAAGATCCCATGTTTTACACTGGAGGAAAATGACTGTGGCTATCATAGAGTTCATAATAGAACAGAGATGATATATTTATGTACCTGTAAAGGTGCTGCTCATCTACAGTTGAAGGGTCAGATCCTCTTTTAATAGGAGAACTAGCTGCTTTCTAATGTGGGACAGTTGTGGGTGGTCACTGAGAAGCACTTTGTCTGTGGGTACACAACTGGTGTAGCAGGTATAACACCTTATCTCTTCTACAGCTAGTACTGAGTGAGTGCTGGAAGGGGGAAGTGTGTAAGTTCTTTCATCTCTCTTAGTCCTGGGTATGGTGACATCCTCTTCCAAAGCCTGAGTGAAACAAAATGGACACAGGAACTGAGGATTTACAGGGTTTGTCAAAAGCTTCTGTGTAACTTTGTTGCCATGAATCATTTGCCACTGGGTTCATGGAGCAGATCTGAAGCATTTTTATACATGTTTACTACTATTGGTTTTATTTAGTATCTATAGTTTTTTCCTTGTTTTCCAGCTTGCATCTGTTATTTTTTGTTTTCTAAACATAGCCCTGAGGTTAAGTAAGTGCCAGAGATACCAGTGAGAAGTTACAGCACTAAATAGTACATTTTCCACAGTACTTATTGTTGCAGTAACAAGGTAGCCAGCACATTTCTAAACTGCTGATAAGAAATTGTAAAAAGAAGCTAAAGGTCTACAGTAGCTAAAAACATGGCTTTGTTTTCATGCTAGTTATGGAGAAATACTTCTGCCCCTCCCCAGTAAATGCTTTTCAGTTAATATGTCACAGATTCTGGCACCATATAGCGTCTTCCATCATTCTGTTTTCACTTCTGTTGTAAGACGACTTGTAGAAAATAATTTTGTAGTCCTTTCATATTTGAAAAAAAATTGGCTCTAAAATGTATGCCACTTCGTGGCTAACAAATACTGTGCCTTGACACAAATGCCATGCAAAGACATGTCACCACTCTCAAAAGGTTAATTGACATTTCAGGCTATTGAATGTCTTCTAAGTAAACATAACCATAACCAAATATGTGTGACATTTTTCTTTCAAGAAAATAGACCATTTTTAAGCCTTAGGCAGTATGTAATTTATTAATCAAAACTTGTTCTCATACAACTGTGTTTAAAACAGAAAAGAGACATGAATTGTACAGGAAAACAAGTAATTTTAAGGTAAAGCAATATAAAACAAGAGTTATGGCTGCTGTTCAGCTATAAACTCAGGCTGCTGTGCTGCCACGTAGATTGTATTTGTTCTGAGCCCTCTATGGTGTTCTGGGATAGATGTGTATTAGAAGTGAAAAAGAAGACACAAATTTTAATTTATTTATTTTTGATGGTTTGTTCTTCATGCTACAACATTAAGAACATGCTACATAGAGTACACTATTTAACAACTTCAGAAAAGTCTTAGAAGTCAGACTTTCTGGGATATTTTTTTTGTCTCGAGTGGCATTGTTTTATAATGCAGAAAAAGCTGCTAACCTGTCTAAGGCTTAGTTTCCATACTGCTGTAATGAACTGTTGAAGTAGCTGATAGGAAGTCCTTTCTAAATAGAGGAGCACAGGGCTGGAGCTTGAGAGACTGCAGGACTAAGAGCCTGAGCTTGCTTGCTGTCCCTGTGTTTGACCCTAGTGCCCAGGTGTTCTATCTATAGGTGATACTGTTCCTGGTTGCCTGCTTTGGGCTGCTCCCACCATAACTCAGGACTTGAGTCCTTTTCTGTTGACTGTTACCAATTTCTTTAACTGAACTAAACTTTTTCTCTTGATAAAAAAACGAGAATAAGGTAGTATCTTCATGCTCCTGAGAGAACCGGAGTTAATTTCTTTACTAAATTTTATTGAAGTTTGTGGAGAGAAAAATGTTTCTAGCTGTATCATTCTGGTATAATTATCTGGAAAATATTGACCAGCACAGGGGCTTAGCGGAGTTGTCCATTAGTGTCATTGACTTGAACATGTACACAGAATCCACTTTGTAGTGTTCTTTACTTTTGTGTGAGAAGGGCAATGCGCTGGTATTTTTACCAACCAAGATGTAATGGAGTTAGAGGAAATCAAAGCAGAATTATGATTAAAAATTCATCTGCTTTTATAATTTATAAAACTTTTCTTTAAAGCCTCTAATTCATAGGCTGTGGGCATACTGTTACTAAAGCTATGCCTACCACAAAATGAGCTAGACCAGACTTAATGCGTCTTCACCAAGTCGCTTTGTGTTGTCTGCATGCTTTCATCGATTTGATTAAAATGTAAACTTACTTGTTTTTATCACAGATTGAAGCCCTAATCAACTGCAGAGCAGCTGACATACTGCAGGCTGACCTGCTGAAGTTCTTCCTACTGTCCTGTTTCTGTACTTAAAGTCAGTCTGGCACTGTCTCTTTCCCTTAACTTTGGTCTTGGCTAAACTCCATAGCCCTCTTGGACTGGCAGTGGTGGTTAATATGTCAAGATAATTTTCCTTTTGTTTTGCTTAGTCATGTGGCTTTCAGTGTTTGTTATATAGTTATGATGACATAGTTATAGTATTGATGTAGCATACAAAGAAATGTAATATAACACACATTAATGTGTAAATGTAAATGGTATAGCTGCAGTAAATTTTGGATGTTCTGTCTTGAAGCCGTGCCCATGGAAGATGTTTTTGCCACCCTTTGTTATCTTGCATCTAGAGATTACTGTCACTGTAGGATGCAGGGCATGTATTGCTGTTCACAGTACAGGGCCTCTGACATGGCTTTATTCTGTTAGTGATTTTATCTGAACTGTTGGACTGGTAAGAGATTAACTGAGATGTGCCACATTTCTGCTTTTACCAAGTCAGCCACAATATTTACTGGTGGAAGGGAGACTCTAGATTAAAAAGAACTTGTGTGTACATTATCTTTCCAGATGGTAAGACTTTGTATTTTCACTTCTCTTTATTCAGGAAGGCCAGACAGGTTATTTAGTGAAAGTCTTGTAGTTCTGTTCTTGTGTGCTCCATTTATGTGTGAGGTATACCTTGATAATGTTTGAATATCATTTTTTATTGATGATTAAAAAGCAATTTAAAATGTGGTTTTTTATAACTTTCTATTAAAAATTCTGTTGCTCACATGCTTAACTGGTTTTTGGCATTTCAGCAGTAGTGATTCAAAAAGCAGAACAGAATTATTTTTGTCATTAACATCTGTATATGGTACAACACACATGAGTAGATTTGTTGATTAAGAAATTACCATTTTTAACTGGTTTACTATTTATTGGTTATTTTTTTCTTTTTCCTAAAAGAAAGATAAATATGAAACTAAATTAAATCTGCAACTTTTCCAATAAACTTCCACAAGGGGACGAAACTACCTTATTCTGGATCCTTAGTTGTGTTCTATGAATTGGTTCCATCAGATCTGAGGCATAGGAGGGTGCTTTATATCGAGTAGTCATAGGCAGTTTGAATGGTAACTTTGAAAAGAGAGGAGCAAATCTGTCTTGGAGTCCAGGAGAATCTGTGGAATATGCATAGTATACAAGTACTTAACATTTGTAAAGCCTGACACAATGCTCACTGACACATACCACTGGCAGTATTGCAAAATCAGTGCTTCTGTGCCATTTGATTGTAGTCTAAATTTGTGTTTTATAGCTTGAGACAATTGGATGGCAGCTTAATCTTCAAATGGCAGAGTCCAAGCAAGCAAAGCTGAAGTCTCCTCAAGCTGTGCTAGAGCTGGGAGTGAGCAATGAAGATTCAAAGGTAAGAAATACCTTGGACAGAGTTGGAATGAGTTGTGGTGATGGCTTTATGTTAAAGTTCTGAAGCATCTGTTGGAACTCTTGATTGTTGTTAGTTTCGTGGATGTTTTCAGTTTTACATTTCATGAAGGTTATAGTAAACACTTGAAATTGTGGAGTACTGATAGAATAGCATACATATTCAGCAGACTGAGATCCATGTTACCAGCACCTTGGGCTGTAACAGGAGAAATACCTTGGAATACGGTTATTTTAGGACTTTACAATATCTTTGTAGATAATTTATTTTTATCACATAGCATGTGATTGGTACTTCTTGCTTTTAATACCTAGCAGCTTGCAGCCTTCTGCCATGTGTGTAGTTATGTAAGACATTACTCATCACTTGCAACCTTTCTGTGCTAATTATGTATTATATGAATGATTACTTCATATGTGAGGCCACAGAAGGCCAGTATTTGGTGGTTTTAAGGTAGCGTCTTAAGTTCAAGAATTTTAGCAGCTGGAGGTGTTTCAGTGCCAAACTCTTTAATAATTTTTTATTCACAAAGTTGGTTTCTTTAGTTAACCAGAGTGTTTCAAATTAGACACGATTTGCTTTTAACCTTATCTTGCTAATGGAAATTGGAGTCTTTTCTTCCATAGTGTCTGTCAGAATGTTTATCTATGGAAAATTCAGTACAAGAAGTTTGAGGGGAGAAATCAGAACTCAGTTCTGCTTTCTGATTTGTGGTGAAATAAAAAGAGAATACACAGCTTATGTTTGTGCTTCTCAACAAGACTTGCAACAGTTGGTTTTTTTTCAGCATTTGCAATCTGTATTTTTGAAATGCGCATACAGGAACCAGACAAAGTTTATGCCCAAGCTACATTGGGCAGCATTGCATACAGATTCAGTTCTTGTGGCAAAACAACTAAAAAAAATAAAAAGGAAAAAATGTCACTTTTATATGACACAGAAAGTTCTTCTGTTTCCTGTACAAGAAGAATTCAGAAAGTGGATTTTTTTGATTGTTTCCTCTCTTTTTCTCTGTGTGGGTATGTTTAGATTTCAAGATCGGAATTACTTTGCAATAATTACAAGCCTAGAATAGATTTGTGACTGGCATTTAGGTAGAACGGTGCAATAAGAAAACAGTATAGACACTAAAATTTAAAAATCTGATGTGAAGATAACTACAAGCTTTTTTCTGAATAATTATATCCTAGTAAATAAGATTGACTAATATCTATTTATATACTAACAGAAGTGGGAACATAATTTTTCTGTTGTACATTGCATGTTCATGATCTCTTGGTGCACTAAGTATTGTTACCTGAAAATCATCACTGCTAGGTACTTTTTTTTTCTCCTCAAAATTATGTGTGTGCCTTTTGCACAAAAATGTGATGTGAATTTAATTTATATATTCTTAATGGTTGTCTTAATTTGTCGCTTTTTTTTTATAACTCATGGATATAATGAAGTTTTCTTGGGAAAGACAAAAAATGCCGTTACAGAGGAGCTTTTGTGGGCTGGCTCATTAGGGGGCAGTAGTGCTCTTTATCATGCTGGTTCTTTGCCTTTTTGAGATAATAATCAATTCTGAAGTCAGTCTTTGTGGGAAGTGTTAAGTGTTTACATTTCTAATCTGTATATGACAATAGAAGTTTCTCTTGCTCATCTACAAAACTAAAGCCTATTAATAAAAAAACATACTGAGCATGGTAAATGAAATCAGCCATTATTTTCACTTTTACTAACTAAATTTAATTATACATTAATGTTTACTACAACTCACACCACTTAAAGAGCATTTAAATGGCTCTTATTCAAAAGCTGACATTTAAAATTAGTATTTAAATTATCTCTCCAGGAGATGTAATCAGAAAACCTTTGGCTATATGGATATTATTTGTGCTTTGTGAAATAAAAAGAAATCTGCTATATGCTAAATAAATATTTATAGAGTATATTTTGTCAGCTTAGATGAAATGCAGAGTCTCAGAGGTATAAGTCCATCGAAGCTCAGAAATAAGGTGTTCTTTGGTTCTTTTAGGTGATTCAAACTGCTAGTGACTTTTGCATTAGCCAGAGAATATGCTGCTTGTGGCTAAGTAGTAATTGTGATCAGATGCCATGATTTTTGAGTTTTGCTGGGTTTTGTCACAGATTTGATGTTTGCTTATACTCAGACCTTGAATTATGCTGGAATTAGCTTCGTGTAGGGGTGGATCGGGTGGGCTGCCAGACCCTGCCTTACAGCCCAACTTGTCCTGTGATTGAGGCTGCTTTGCAGCTTGCTTGCTTCTGATGTTTTGTATGAGGAAGAGAAAAAAGGAGCTTTCAATAAAAAATCCACTTAACAGTGGTTTCTTACAATGATTCATAATTTGAAATGTTTAATTGCACTTCTAATTCCGAGGGAAGTGAAATGTCTGTGAACTGGGCGCACAAACAAACTGGTATAATAGGAAACATATTTTTAAACTGCAAGGTCCTTTTGCTTCTGTTATGACATTTTGATGAGTTTAGGTGACATTTAGAATTGATGTCTGCTGTGTATAAGGTTTGTTTTTAATAATATAATTTGGTTTCAGATTTTTGGACTGTTGATTTGCAACACAACAATCTGGAGATTTTGCACAAACTATCATTATTTTTATGGTTATAGGGTCAATTAACCAGTAGAGGGAGCAGAAATTAATAATCCTGATAATCTGTGCTGCTAATTATGATTTTGATTTGCAAACAAAACCTGTTCACAAAAAGTGCTGTGTTTATTTAATATCTGTTTTCTTCAGTAATTCCTTTGATAGCTATCTACATAGACACACATTCTTATATTCCTTCCCACTATTAATAGCAGTAATTCCTTAGGTCATCTAGTCCAGACCTTTTTAAACAACTGTGATAATTTTCTATAACCATAGGAACCATATAAATAAATAAATAAATTTTAGTAAAGAGGGTAGAAAAGGTCAGAGGGCTTCAGAAATGTCACATCATTGGTGCTGAATATCTTCACTGCGGAATGTGAGGAGTAGGAGTGTGCTCTTGAAGAGTTGCTGCTGTACCTCATCTTTGGGAGGATCCAGTAAGGCATGTTACTATATGAGATATTTATTATTGTGTATTTTCACATGTGTAGTAACCATTTATGCTTGAAAATCATTAGGATAAATAAATTATTCTTGCCAAGTATTGTCTTTTGATAGTTTTCCAAATTTTTTATGTAAAGTCATTCTATGGACGTCATTGGATTCACTTATCTAATTGCAGTGGAACAAGCTCCACAGAGAAGTGGTCACAGCACCAAGCCTGTCAGAGCTCATGAAGGTTTGGACAACACTCTCAGGCACATGGTGTTTTTCTTGGGGCTTCTTCGAGCTCAGGATATTCTATGATTCTATGAAAATCAAAATGGGGTCTGATTACATATGTAACTGAGATAGTACACATTCATCATTCTACAGAGTAAATAGAAGTCTGGAAATCTGAAATGATTATCTTTCACTTGTTAAAATAACAGAACATGGTTTTCTTTTTTTTTTCCTAGTTTTTATAGACTTTCTATAAATTTCTGGACTGTGAACAAAATCTAAACCTTTTTACTCTGTTTACTTCAATAAGTATACCATTCTGCTTTCTGAGTTTGCCACTATGATTACTTTTCTCATCTTTAACATCATAGCAAAGTAGATGAGAAACAAGTCTTTTCTTCTAGCAGAGATAGATCTTAATTCAGGCTGTAGATTCTGTTCAACCTGTATGCCATGCAGGCAGGACCTGCACTTGGATTGGTATATAACGAAATACAGTGGTGCTTACCCTTCCACCTCAGTTTAGCCCTTTGTTTCTCTTTGAAAAGAATTTGTGTTTGTTGAGTGGGATAACAGTGAGAGTTGGTGGATGCTAGTGATATGATCCCACTTCTGGGAGGTAGGAGGTGGCAGAAATGAGCATGTACTTCTTTCATTTGCCTTCTCAGTCCTCAGCTTTTGGGATGATGCATTAAGTTGCCTTGGGAGTAATTTGTATCTGTAGGACCTTGGAAAAAAAAGTACACTTAGCAGTAATGATGCTGAAAGAACTGTGATGAAGTCCAAGCAACTGTGAATTATGTCTCACGTTCCTCAGCTACCTCTTAACCACTTTCTTTTCTGATGAGGAGATCGCCCTTTTCTTTCTCAGAACACAAACAAGCTTGGTTGTACACCCATTAACTGAGTTTAGTTTTCTCATCAAGCTTATTTCTAAGTCTCTAGCAATTGCAAAAGAAAAGTAAGACAGGCCTTAGATGAATGCAAAATGTTTAAGGATGAGATTGAGAGAATAGGGTTTTTTCATTCCTATTTGGAGGACTTAATAGGAGGCCTGGATAACCTCAGACATCAGAGACCTGACTCAAGATTTTTCTGTACTTCTGAATAGGCAAGGTTCCTGCTTTTGACAAGGCACATCATGAAATTAGTTTTGTTGTGAGAATTAAAATCAAATAAATACTGCTGCTAAGAAAGCAGAAACTTCCCTAAGAGCAGGTTTCAGAATATTGAGAAAGCTCATCATATTTGTAGGAGCTGTAGTAAGAGTGTATAATCTTGGATGTGTGGAACAACTCAGAAAAATGAGTCTGAAATTTATAACTTGCTTACAGCAGTCATATTGCTACAGAAAGATGACAGAAATTTAATTGCTCTGCCATGAGAGCCAGAAATTCTGGACTTACAGTGCACAGCAATTCTTGCATTAGACTGTTTGGTTTTGATCTATCATAGCTATTACCTCTGATTAAATCCATTTAATTAGAGGAAAAATGCAGTCCAGAAATTTTAAGATGCTGAGAGGACTTTTTTTGTTCTCTTACCAACGTAGAAAGGGACCACAGAGTAACCCATGTTCTGTAAGCTGTGAGTAGTTTGACATTTTACTTAGGAACCATTTACCAGATGGTGTGTCTCCAAGAGTATGCACTCACCTCTGGCAATTCTACTGCAGGGTATACTTAATTATCTGACTCC